GTGAAAAGATACAGGCGCACTCGTGTAGAAATACGAATTTCATTAGAGAACTTTAGAGAAATCAATTTACATACAATACTATCATCATATCAATATCTAAGTTCAATAAAATCCGTCCAAGTAGCTTAATAACATGTTCAACTTGTGTATATATTTAAAATATTGAAATTCACAAAAGAACAACGTTTTATAATACACAATTGAAATATTTATTTAAACTGTTGTAAAAGTCACTCTACATGTTTCAACGTGGTTTCTCGTTGTGTTCAGGAGTAAAAAAAAAACAGTCACTGTGTGTTGTACAAGTAATATATTCGGTGACGATGACGTGAAACTATTTAACTTTTCCAAACTAGAGCCCCCCCCCCCCCCAGTGGCACAGCGGTATGTCTACGGACTTACAACGTTAGAATCCGAGTTTCGATACCCGTGGCGGGCAGAACAAAGATAGCCCATTGTGTAGATTTGTGCTTAATTACAAACAAATCAAACTAGAGCAATTTCATTGTTTTAGTATTTCGAAACTACAAGTTTACATTTTACTGTTTTTCTTTTTTACTAGTTTAAACTATTGGATGTGAAGATGTGACTTTGACCCCCAGAGTAGTTTATAAAAATTAAGCTGATTTGACGGGCTTTATACGCCTATCTATGTGTGTGTCAGATGTTGCGAATACGTGATGTGCACACGTACACCAAATGCGGGTTTTTAACTTCTGAAAGAATAACAAAATGTTACTACTTAAAATGGGGTGATCGTCTTAACCTGCTTAGCAGAATTCAGAACATTTTTACGCGATAAAATATAATTGTATGAAGTAATTTTATTTTTTCAAAATATCATCGAGTGACAAATTATCTTAAAATTACAGGGTTATACTAACAACAAACTGCTTGTTCACCGAATCACGTTAACCCAAAATTATTACGGCTTCCTCTAGCATGGTCCGGCGTGATTAATGCGCTCGATTCGCAATCTGAGGGTCGCGGGTTCGAATCCCCGTCTCACCAAACATGCTCGCCCTTTCAGCCGTGGGGGGCGTTATAATGTGACGGTCAATTCACTAAAAGAGTCGCCCGAGAGTTGGCGGTGGGTTGTGACGACTAGCTGCCTTCCCTTTAGTCTTTCTCTGCTAAATTAGGGACGGCTAGCGCAGATAGCCCATGTGTAGCATTGCGCGGAATTCAATAAAACAAACAAACACAATCCTTTAGCATTTCTCATAAATTTTAAGCCGACCATACAGTAAATGTGAAAGATATCATCAGATGACATTGTGTTGTGAATTTCTTAAAGTGTAAGAGCAAATATAACTATTATATGTAATGTAACAAAGTGGTTTTGCTCGCGAGTTGTCCAACTAATCACACCAATTAAATTAAGTGATGATGCTAATGCTTTATTCTAACAACTAATTAACACAATTATTACTTAACGATTGAAGATAACAGCTGTCTTATTTGTGTTTTAGTTACTAATAACTCTAGAGCACTAAGGCCGGACGTGGCTAATTTGTTAGCTTGCCCAAACTTTGATTCCAATGATCACAGCTCGTAAAGAGTTGTTTTGTGTTTTTATTCGTACCTCAAAGCTATACAACTGAAAATTTGCGCTCGGTCCACTGTACGAAATCGAACCCAGAATTTTAGAATTTAAAATCTGTAAACTTACTCCTGACCCACAGGGGTACAAAGCAATGCGGAAAACACTCGTTCGCATTTTAGGGCCATAGATGTGTTATAAGAGTGACGATCGATTCTCGCTATTTAGTCTGACAAGAGTTGTCCAAGGGTTTGGGTAGGTGGTGTTGACTAGCCACCTTTCCTCTAGTACATCACTTCACAGTTAGGGGCGGCTAGCGCAGATAACACTTGTGTAGCTTTGCGCCAAGTCTAATTAACCAAACAAACAATATTCATTGTACACAAGACATTGTTGATTTGAAACGCGAATTTTCTGTGAATTTACGTATAGATAAAACCTTAGTCCTTTCAACTTTCGGGATTTCGAATAACAAATTCTCCTTACCCTCTCCTGATTGGTTGAAGCCAAATATATCTCAGTAAGGTAATTAGAAATTACTGTCAGGAATGTGAACCATTTTCTTGAATAACAAGAAAATAAACACACACAAAAATCGATTAAACTTGAACTTATGATATCTTTCTTTGAGATAATAAAGATATAATTGTCTTGTTTTTATCTTTCAGCATACATCAAGCCATAACTAATACGGCGAAATGCTCATCACGGAAGACGATTCTGAAACTAAGCCAGGGAAACAGAATTACAAGGAAGAAATAAAATTAACTTCAGATTTAACCCTTAAAACTACCGTTCTATTTTGTAAAGATTTATCACATCTAGTTCTTTCTAATATCTTACAATATTCAAGATGTAGTTATGTGAATATATGTTATAAAGAAATATCTTTTCATAGTTTATCTTCCTACTCGTGAAGTTTTATTCTTTTTTTTTACCAACGTGCGCTCACCCGTATAGGACATGGAATCTAGCCAAAGAAACGTAAAGATGCAGCAAGGAAGACACAAAATGCTTCTCGTTTTATTGTTGCAAATTTCTGTCTTGTAAGTATCGTTGTTGTCAGTTATTGGTGCTCTAGAATGAAATTTTAGAATTTTTGGGGGTTGTCGCTTTGTTTCGCGCAAAGCTACGCGAGGGATATCTGCACTAGCCATTCCTAATTTAGCAGTGTATGACTAGAGGGAAGGCAACTAGTCATCACCACCCACCGTCAACTCTTGGGCTACTCTTTTACCAACGAGTAGGGGGATTGACCGTCACATTATAACGTTCCCACGGCTGAAAGGGCGAGCATGTTTGATGTGACGGCGATTCGAACCCGCGACCCTCAGATTGCGAGTCGATCGCCCTAACCACCTGGCCATGCCGGGCCATATTCCATGAACAGAGTAGAAAGTCACAATACGCCAATGCTTTCGTAGTCTCCTTAACAATTTTTTGTAGACCAAGCCCGAATCCACTAAAACTAACAATACTACTTCTAGTACTCCATGGTTGAGATGACAGGGTCGTATCCAAAGCTTTCTTCAGATTGTTGTCAAAACCAGACATTCCGTATAAAGCAAAGAATAAACAGTGAGATTCATCGTACGTCACATGATAGTCTTTCATTGCTCTTCATGCCAGTTTCAACTTTCAGAATACCATGTGACTTGACACTTTGGGTTCACAGCTGTGATGAGCAGCTTATGAGCTGCAGCCTGTCCAGAAAATATGTGCATAATGGACGCGCTCATCTGTAGTCTTGCATTTCATTAAAGTCCTGGGTGACGAATTTAATAACATGCTTGTTCGTTTCGCAACATTCTCTAAATTTTATATGAGCCAAAAGTGGTTAATTTTAGCTTACCATTGATTTAACATATTATTCGAAATGAATTTGGACATGAGAAGTAACTTCATATTATGTATGGGGTTTGGAGTCTGTTTTACTTCACCATGCAGTAACTTAAATTAATTTAGGTATGTGAACAATGCTGTGACATTTCGTCGAATTCATTATTTGATATTATACAGCAGACCAACTCATTAATAATTGTATATATATAGATATAGATATATAACCTCATATTACTATATCCAGTATCACTGCGGTACAGTGGTATGTCTGCGAACTGATAACAAACAAACAAATCAGTATAATTCGTCTTTGAAGATCTATTGTAATTCTCAAAAACAGATCACGACAAATTTACAAAATATCCATCAAAACAGAATAGCTTATAGACGTTGCACTAATATTCGAAACGTGTCTACTTTTTTGTTAATTTTAACACGAAGAAAAAGTGTACCGATATTTTTTCAAATGTGTATTTCAATGAATATAAGAAAATTATAAATTAGGTTTTACTTATTACATATTATGAATATTTTTAGTAAAAAGTATTCGTAAAATTTTGTAGTCTAGGATTCATCTCATACTATTCATGGACGGGTCCTATTCATTGGTGCACCCAAAATTAATAGAATTACAATTTCTAAAAAAATTCACAAAATCAAATCATCGTCTTTGCCAAATTCAGTTTGGTGTAAACTTTTTAATATTAGTGTATTTAGTGTTTAGATCACGACGTTGTAAAAATTTGTAAAGTAATAATTAGATAAAAGAAGGTACAATGAAGTGTTTTAATCTGTATTGGTTGAATTAGTTATTTAAACGACCGTATATTGTCGTTGACATATCTTTCTTTTCTATTTTTCTAAACGAATTATATTTGGTTGAACCGTCTGAAAATATGAAATAAAAACGCTCCTTTTTGTACTATTAATATAGAAAAACAAGTACAAATACAGTTATAAATGCCGGAAATTGTATACCAGGGTTACCCACATATAAGTTTTTTTTTCACTTTCCATTAAAATCTGAACTAAAACAATATCCATACATGAAACTTATGGTGATGATAATTATCATACTTTAAGAGGGACAACTTAATCATAAAAAGACGAGACCCTTATCTGAACTGTTTTTCTGGCTAAATATTGAAAAGTCTTAGAGTCTGTAACTATTTGATTACCTTGTAGGCTTATAACGCTAAAATTAAAGCTTTGATCTCTGCGTTGGACACAGTGTAGAGAGTATATTGTGCAGATTTGTGCTTAAAACATACCGAAAAAACTTAGAATATTCTGTAACATTTTTTTTTCTCGGTGAATCTGCCAAAAACTTTGATATTTGGTATTTTCAACCTCTCTATTAACAATAATAATAGATAATTTATTGTCATATGTCACATTATTTTTCCGAAATAAATAAACTCACGGTAAGAAAAGTAGTAATTTTGTGAGTTATGTATATAATCCTGAAACAACAAGAAAGTAAACATAAAAAAAACTGGAGTTAAAACCAATATTTTCTTTGCAATAAGAATAAGAGCAACAAGAGTGTCAGTCGTATTACTGTTTATAAAAATAGTATATCTTAATTAACAAATTAATTTTTTTTTTTACTTACCTAACATTTTCACTACAGCTCTGCGGGAAGACTGACTAGAACCTTTCACAGACTGCCTTGTCTGTGATTTTGCCCCATTTAAAGTGTTGGAGGTGGTTTCACTACGATCTAGTCCAGTTGACCTCCTCAGCTTTACACCGATGAGAACGTATAACACCGTAATCAGCGTCATGGGAAGAATGAAGAAGAGAAAAGTTGAGATTTCAAAAGCGTGACTCAAGGGCGATTTTAAAGTGCAAAAAACGTGGACAATACCAAACTGGATAGCCAAGGGCACGGCACACATAGCACTGACTAGCCAGATAATTATGATGGCCATAATAGCTCGAGACAGCTTTGACATTGTATGAGCCCGGAGTGGATGGCAGATGGCCAGATACCGTTCTACTGTGAAAGCCGTGATGGTTAAAATAGAGGCATTAGTAGAAGTCTCTGATGTCAATCCTCGAAAGATACAGAAAAACTCACCAAAGATGTAAGGATATCGCTGCCACAACTGATACATTTCCTGAGGCAGACCCAAGATAAGCAAAAGAAGGTCAGATACTGCTAGGCTGAAAAGATAATAGTTAGTAGCAGTGTGCATGTATTTGTTTCTAGCGATGACCACGCACGTGCAAATATTGCCCACTACCCCAGTGACAAGAATAACAGTGTAGATCAGTGTCATAGGAATCACCGTTGATGGGGGATCTCTTGTTGGACCAAGAATACTTTCATTGTTGCTTTCATTGTTAATTACAGGTGTCAACGTAGTCAGTAGCGCATTCGTCAAAGAATAGGAATCGACAGACGAAGTTATCAGTTCCGGACCAGATGGAATACTGTCAGCCATTCTGGATGCGAACGATTTCCGTACAGTTAAATCAGTTGTACTTTAAGAAAAAAGTTTTCGTTTCTAAGTCCATGTACTGACATAGTTCGTATGCTGATTTTTTTCATTATATATATATCAGACTGAAACAGGAGTAATATTACTGAAATTCACGGACAAACTGTAATTATAGGGAAGCTAAATTTAAGATTGCAGCCAAAGAAAACAATTAAAATAAATTTCCTGCGAATCAGAATAAAGAAACCAGTTATGGTTGTAAATAGTTCAAACTAAATTATATAGCAAGTTATACAAGGTGGTTTGGGGATGAGAGCCGAACTTTTAGACACTTAAATCCACCTCACTAGAGAATTAGTACTTCAAGAAGATCTACTGTATCACACTGCTACTTACTCTGCCGAGGCCGAAGTTTTTATTTCTGTTTCGAGTAGCAATGACGTCAGCATTACGTCAGGAAGACATGTGACTTTGCTGGAGTCAGTTTGTGGCGTCTGTTTAGCGAATGACATTAAATTCGGAAAACGTTGTTGTGTAACTTAAAACACCGCAAGATTTAATTTTGTTATTATTACGTTTATCTCAAGAAAACCGTTTAAAGTTTTACAAACTACAAACAAACAAATTGAAAATGGTAAGGAATTAGAATCCTATAAAACTTAAACTTTTTACTTTTGAAAATGAAAAAGCTTAACAGAAGATCTGCAGTAAAAATAATCTGACTTCTTTCCACGGTAATATTTATTTCCTCTTGAAAACCATTAATCCAATAATCATCACGAAAACATAATATCTGACTTACGACATTAAATGACAGAGCTGTAGAGGCACCACTTAACTAAGTTGTGCCAATCTTTACGTCACTGGACAAATAGCTTTCTCATTAGTCTGTCACACGCTAGTAAAATCGGATCCTTCTTGTAGAAACATGTTTTAACAGATTGAATGTTTTGCGGTCTGTATACTTATAGTCCACTTATAACTCTAACCCTAAAGTACATGAAAACGTGTTTGTTGATATGTAATACTATATTTGTTTGTTTGTTTGTTTTTGAATTTCGCGCAAAGCTACACGAGGGTTATCTGCGTTAGCCGTCCCTAATTTAGCAGTGTAAGACTAGAGGGAACGCAGCTAGTCATCACCACCCACT